CATCGGTTGTGGCTCCCGCTGCCTTGGTTGCGGTTCCTGCTGTCTTGGTTGCGGCTCCTGCTGCTTTGGTTGCCTCAGTTGTGCCTCTTGCTGACCGGGCATCTCAAACCACATGCTCTTCAGAAAATCAGGTGTTGGAGGCCGTGGAGCACTCACAGAAGAAGAAGAAGAAGGGACCGTCTTCGGAACCCATTCCAGCTTTATCGGCTCAAGGTGGGCGACATTGCTCTCGCGAAATTCTCGCCCTCTCACCATGGCGCAAAGCACTACGAGATGTCGGAATACTCGGGAGCGCAAGCTGTTGTGCTTCGTTGCTGTCCACGGGTGTTGCCGTGAGCTAGTGCTGCGCACAGACAGTGTTTCTGCTGTATTCACTGCCAAAGCTGCGAGAGCTCTACTCCTACGGATTCACACCCTTTCGAGCTGCTGAGAAGTCAAACAGCCTACGTCGTCGTGATCTGTTGTTTCGTCTGCAGATGTCCTATCATTTCCCCACGTCAGTCTCTGCAGAATGTATGGCTGCGGCGTTTGACACAACAAGTATCAAACTCACCAACTCATCGTATGCTGCAGATGTGGAAGAGTTCTTGTCGGGACGGCTGAACCTGGTTCTACGCACTGCCACTGCCACTTCCGCTCGTATCTTATCAACTCCCTGGAAAAGCCTGGAGTCATAATCTCGATCAAACCACGTACATGAACTACATTCAAGGAAGACTCCTGCTTAGCATCCAGTTGCGATTCTGCCAAATGCATCTGGTCGCCCTTTGCACACTGCCGCTCCTGCCTCGGAAGCCGAACGCTGACGCCACAGTGCCGCCATTGCCGTATCGGAACAGTGGGCGAATGGGGCCAGTGCAACAGAAGCTGTCACAGACTTCCCTCGAAAGTGTCGGGATTTGTGTCAGGACTACCGCCTCCACGGTGACAGTTGTGCATAAAGGATAGTGATGCAAAGCGTAGCTCGTTTTTGTGCTTTCGACAGTGCTACCCCAGCATTTGTCTGCATGTGCTGCCCATGGCACTGCTCTTGATTCGGCCAGGACGCAGCGAGCGTTCTTGATCTGCCCACCAGCCACTCTCACCCAGCGTGAAACTTGGCAAAGACAAGACGCTCGGTTTTCGGAATGTACACCTTGCCCCTGTGCCTCTCAATGCAGCTGCCGTTACCATCGCACTGACAAGCTCACCTTCCCTCCAAACGCCCCAAAGATGGAACACTGCATCGATGAGCGCTGTTGTGGTCCGGGCTCTGTGAGCGTGCAGGTGGCATTGAACTTGAAGCCTCCGGTCTTCCTCCAGGGCAGGCAGGAGTCGGGCGAGTCAGCAAGCAACTGACGGGCTCCGGACGTCTTCGTGACGGAGATCTTGGGCCGCGCTTTGTTGAGGCGGATGCCGACATCGTTCAGCTCCTCCGAATGTTGGGGGGGGCCTTCAGACCTTGCCGACTGCTGAAGCACACGAGGAAGGCAGTTGGCAAAGCAGACACCGGGGCTTCCTTGGTAAGTAGCTGTCGCTGAGCATCATCCTTCGTGGCATCGAGAACCATCAGAATCCTGTCGGGAAAAGCTTGGCATGGAGTGGTCGGTGGAGCCTGGCTTACCAAACCGAGGCACATGTCAGCACTTCTCGCCGTGGCGATGACTTGACGACCGCGCCCTGTGGACAATCGGACGAGATGAAGGATGTGGTTATGCGGTCTAGCTTCTTCCGTGTTCAGGACGTGCTGCAACAGCACTCTCTCCGACTGCCGGCTGCCATCCTTCATGACGGAAATTTCTTCACAGGCTGTAGCTTTGCAACCTGCGTGAAAAGCCCAAGGAGCTGCAAGCCATCCGATCTTCAGCTGGCCCATCTCCAAGGGCACACACTAACGATCAGCACTTTGGCTGGGCAGACCTTTCGAGGCACAGGTGGCCTCACTTGCTACTGCTTGGGACATCGAAGCATCTGACGGCTCAAAGCTTTCAAACGAGAACCAATCATGCTACAACCGTTCTACTCAACTTTGCGACAAAGGATAGGAGTACTTTCAATGCAGTTGGGGATAACGCCGGCGTTGCTTCATGTGTCAATCGTACCGCAGCCACGTGGGCCTGACGTAACCCCAAGTCCATTGATCCTGCGCCAGCATCACCGGCCAAGCTCAAATCACTGCCAATTTTACACAACATCCCTTGCAGTACCGTGCACTGCTGCAAGCATCGGCGTGCTTCTGACCGGCATGCCTCAATCCCGTAGGTCCTCTGCCCGCTGTATTTCAGGAGCTGGCATCTGCGGTCAAAACCTCGGCAGCATCGTCGAAGCTACACACAGCTGGTGAAGATTGCTGACACTAGGTATCGGTAGGTGCATCGTGGAATGCGTGATTTTGGCAGCCTTATTTCCGTGGTGTCCACAAGCTGAGGGAAAGGGTCAGAGCCTTGGGCACACGACGCCTCAGCGGAGCTGGACATGGTCACAGGCACCCGCAGAACGAGTAGAAAAGAGCATCTAGGGGCTACAGGTCTGCGTTTCGTGCATCTCTTCTTGAAACCCAGCTTGAAAATGGGGTGGAATGGCCGGCAAAGCCGTCGACGCACTGCGCTGAGCCAGTTCCACACTACTTCAGCTCGCTATTCGCTGAGCTGAAATGCTGCATTTGCAAAACGAGGCCTGTCCGGCCGGCTCGTGAGAAAGCTGCTAAATTCAATTCAGAGAGGGTATGGCTTTCCGTCTGTTCAGGAGCCCGCAAGTCTGTTCACGTGCTCCGACATGGCGACCTGGACATTGGCTGTGAAAAGCTCCAGCCCACAACGAGACTTGTGCCCCGGGAAGCTCAAAACGCGGATGGGCATAACAAGTCCAGTGGAACCAGAACCACTGCACGAATTACTGCTTGCTGGCTGTGCGACATCTGCCTTACCACCTTGCCACGGCGGCGGGTTCACACGATCCTTGCAGTAATGGAGCCCACTGGCCAAGAAGTTGGAAACGGGTCAAGCGTTTTGTCTGACATCTATTTTGTTCTCTCTGGTGGGCTCCTACAGGCTTGTTCATTTTGATGTGTGGGATGTCAGATGTTCATCTCTTCTAACTCTCTTGCCGCCCACCCACCCAAAGAACCCCCACAGCTTTCCTGTAGCCCTAGAGCATCATGAGAGTATCTCACAGAGAACTTTCCCGGAGCGCCCACCATCTTATCCCTCAGACGAGCCCGGTGCTCACGCAAAGGAGTGCCCACCTCTACGAGCTATCCCCACAGAGTATCCCTCGAGTGCCCACCCAGAGCATCCCGCAGAACATTCTGCTTACCACCACACTTTGCAAACCCTAGAGGCTCCGCAGGACATGGTGCCGTGCCGGCCAACAAGGCAGTCCACACCCGTATCCTTGGAGTGACCACCCCATAAGTTTTCCTGCGGAGGACTGTTCGGACTGCCCGGAAAAAGAAACCAGGAGGGCACACTGGGCACACCCAAAGAGTAGCGGATCATAATGCGCGGCCACACGCTCTTCTCGTCTCTTTGTACTCCTGTGCTCGTCCCTGCACGCTCCTGGTAAGCAAGCTGCAGCGTATCCTAGACAGTCATCCAATGCAGTATCCCGCCAATTGCTTTATTTAAGTAAGGGTGGAGATGTTCGAACAACTAGATCTTGGTTCAGTTCTGTTCACTCTTTCCCAGGTCTCATGCCGTGGCACGGTGCACTTGGAGAGCCCTTCGATGACGCCGGCAATGAAAATGGCACTCTCATGACTCCCTCATGCGTTCCGGGCTGGAAAGCATGCAGAGGTCGCGAAACGTTGCAGGGGCAAATTTGCCTTCGATTTGCCTCGGTGTCATGGGCCAATTGCATGTAGCGAATGAAACTCGCTCTTTTCGGATACTGCTCTCACCGGAGGGTTTCGCAGTGGCTGCATCGTGCGTCCGCATACTCAGAATCACGACAATCTTGCCTCTTCCCTTACAGAATGGAACGAGAGCGGGTTTGTAGCGCCCGCGACTTAGCTGTTGCGCATCCACCGACGGCATACGCGTGCGTGCAGTTACGCGACACACACACTTCACGGAGGCTGTCAATCTCTGCAGGATGCTAGCAAACAATCAGCAGAGCAGCGAGCTGCAAGACGAACACGAAACGGAAAGCAGACAGCAAAAACAAACACGGAAAGTAGTGAACTGCAGATCGAATGCCCGAAGCAGGAATGGAAGACAAGGTAAGGCTGCAAACACAGAAGCCAAGCATGCACAGAAACAATGCCCCGAATAATCGGTACACCCATGGAAAGCGTTGGCACTTCTGAGGAAGAGGACTAGTGGTAGACCTGCTATGGCCCGCTGAAGTGGTTCAGGTTGATGTCCACGTGCCAAGGATAGAATATACAAAGTCGAAGATCGAGGTCTCTTGAGTACTTTATGTCTGCTGGACCTGTGCGGTACGACCGAAGTAAGCGACCACACATCGACACCTCATAAAACCTAGCGTGCTCTCCGGAAAGTCCTTATCCGCGAAGAGCGAGATGGTGCCCTGCGGGCCATCCCGAGGGCCGCTCTCGGGCATTTTTGCCTTGGATCACTTCCGGGCCGAATTGGCACTTGCACCGCTCTCAAACACGAACAGCTCCAGACCATCCACGTCGAGACATGTGGCATCAGAAAGGGAGTTGTCAAACATCGATTCTTGCGTCGTCAGGATAGATGGCGCAATGGATGGCCCTCTGGACGGGAAAGCCTTCGATGCCCAACCCGGCTGTGATTCTTGTCTCTACAACTTCTCAAGTATCATTTGGCTGCCATGTCCAACTTTGAGCGCTCGCGAAGCAAAAGCCTATCTCACTCAACGGACCCCCCAGCTGCTGGCGACAGGATCTTCAAAAGCGAAGTCGCAACCAAACAGAGAGGTCGGCCTCTACAACCCGATGTGAACATCAAACAGACCGAAAATGAAAGCCTTCACCACACCCTCTGGCCTCGGATGCAGTTCTGCGCAGCTCCGTGCGCACGCTCTCCCGAAGCAGGGACTCCATCATGGCCTGAAAGTTCCGAGAAACATTCCGGAATTAACCACGAATCCTTGTACTGGCCCAAGAACTTGTTGGTTAACTGAAGGGCTCGTGACATATGCAATTGAAAGTACCCCACAAAGTTACCTCGCTACTGGCTCCCAGTATCTGGTCATGGGGACTCTGCACCAAGTCGTGAGACAAGCTCGTGCGATCTCACTCACTCCTACGGGGAGCTGCTTCTGCCGAGGGTCGGCAGATCCTTCGAGAGCGGCCTCTGTGGACTTTAGTACAATCTTTCGTAGCCTGCAATGAGACACTACGGAACGCATTGTTGAAAGTGCTTGTGTCAAATTCGCTGATGTAATCAAGCCCTCGCCTTTCCACGGCCATCTCGAGGGAGTCGTCTGGCGAGACCTCCAGGCTGCCGGGCTGCCGAACCCCAAACATCCCTGAAGCCCTCGGCTAAGCTTGTACTGATTTGCTGACGATCAGTCATCACCTCGGGAACTCCTGGCAGCAATGCAGATGCCTCCTTCAAAGTGACCGGCTTTGACGAATGTGGCTGCTCCACGAAATCCTCTCCGCTGGACCTGCTCCCACACACAAGAGCTTCCCTCATCAAGGGCCACAAACTGCCGCCACAGCAACGAAGCTTCCAAGGAACGCTGCTCCGGCTCTGTGTTCACCGGCGCGGTAGACCGATCTTGTGCTGGCCGTGTAAAGCCGCCTCAGTTCCACGAAGAATGGTCTTAGGACAGCACTACGTACCGCAACCGGCCCGATACTAGTTGTGTTCTGCCTGCAAGCCTAAGATGTCCAAGTGGCGTAATTTTCTTCAAGTCTGCCGCGACAGAGTCCTTGCAAGCTGGCTGATAGGCGCTGAGAAGAAAGATGCCCTTGCACTCTGTCACAGCTGCGTGCCCAGCATCTATCTTCGAGTTCACGTTCACAAACCCGATTTCCACATGTTTGTGCAGCTCTTCTTGCTGGTGCATCGTACGCAGGAGGTTGTACCTGAACATGCACGGCTGTATAACCAAGACCATGGCCTGTCCATCACAGAACGACCTTCCCCGCTGCATGACCAAGAGCAGACTGGTAAAGTAGCTGCTAAAGGGGCCAAGGATACTTGATGAACCTCGGCGCTGTCTTGGAATCCTTGGCATGAGTTCCCAGGTCTAAGAGACTACAGCGGTGAATGAGTATCTTCGACAAGTCGGGCCACGCGCCCTCCGACGTGCATCGCTGCAGCTTGTAGACTTGCCGAAGCGGCTGCTAATCACTCTCAGAACAGGCAATCGGTCTTCAAGTCTCTCACTTGTCAAATGACAATTCAGGCAGCATTGAAACCAAGATGCGTGCACCCACCGGCTGAGGGGTCGTATGAACTCTTCCAGCTCAATCGTACCCGAACCATCCACGTCAATCATCTGGAAGAGTTCATGCAAGTCGCCTCAGCAAACTTCAAGCCGCTCGGGTCTTCAAACTCGACTCAAGCATTGTCGGTTGTCGCTTCAAGGGAGGGCCTTCGTCGATGTCCATGACTTTCAATCGGCTCTGAAGCTCGGCATCGTTGCGGGCTCCGCTCATCAACTGCCTTTGCCATCAAGTTAGCCATGCGAGCTTGGGATTTCGCAGATCAGAAATAATTCCTCAGGCAACTTCAAAACCCTGCCGCAGCATCACCAAGAGCACTAAGGAATCATGCCCTAAACCCGCCAATGACCTCTGCAGTCGCAGACTCTCCAAACACGGACGGATCCCAAGTGTCTCCCGTGTCCCTGCTTCCCACTCAATTGTCATGGCCGAATTGCTCTAAGGACAGCTGCCCCTCACCGTCCTTGTCAATGCGGTCAAACATCTTCTTCAACCGGGTCCTGGGGAGCACGACTGACATGGCCGTTCAGACAAGCGTGCAAAAGACCACTGCAGCTGCTCAGCTGCCCTGCCGGCACTGAGACCCGGCCTTCCTCTGCAATACACCCGCTTCTACCGCTCTAAGACGGTCCATGTTACATCATCACCGACCCCTACTTGTTTCTCGATGCCTATGGCAGCGCATCAGTGCTCCTGAAGGTGTCGACAAGGTCTAGACACCAGGGCAACTCCCCTCAGACCCCTGGCCCCGCTACACTTCCGAGATCCTGTCAGTCCGCATGTCGTGATCCAACTCTTCGGCCAAGTTGAGCACGTCACGCTCACGAGCTTCGGCGAACTGATCCACCACAACGGCAACCTGAGCTAGCCCATGGATCAACTCATGCGAGATATTCGTGTGTCACTTGACACGATTCGAGTCTACACTTTGAGTGTCGCAAGTCATCCCCCAGCTAGAATGGTGAATGCTTGGTTTGATGGGCCTTTTTCTGGTAAGCCCCTCATAGCAAGAAAACTCCATGCACTTACCAAGTGGCAATAAGGTTGAGCACGCCGAAAACGATCGTTAGGTAGGCGCCTATAAAGACGATCGATGTTTCGGGCGCTGCCAAAATGACGGGAACGGCAAGCTCTCCCCAGCCATCACCCGCAATCACCGTCTTGAACAGCAGCAGGTTGGCATGCATCACAGAAGAGGTCGCAAACTCGCAGTAGTTGCAATCACTAAAGAACTCATCAGGGAAGTCTTGCACGAACGGGTGCACTGATTCAACAATAAGCATGGCCCATACGGTCATGACAAGAAAGCAGAAGCAAAATGACCAGAACAATGCCTTCAAGCATGTGTTCAGCATCTTGATAAGCTTCTGCAGCTCACGCAAAGCCTTGACCTTGCGGAGAATCTTCAGCAGCCGGAGGATGCGTACTAAGCGAAGTATCCTTATGACACTTAGGCTTGAAAAGACGTTGCCAGGTAAGAGTGCATTCAGCAACAACTCTATGTATCCACATGCAACAAGAAGGGCATCCAGGACCTTCAGTCTGTCACAGCACATGGCCCAACCATCAAAGAAGACAGACAGCAAGAACTCCGCAGTGTAAATCCCCAGGCACACTTCGGACATGATCGTGAGCCAGAGAGGCAGCTCCGTCCCTGCAGCACGCGCATCAATGTCACAGCAGTTGGCATACGCATCTGCAAAGATGATCAAGGCCATAAAATTGCTCAATGCCAAACTGTTCCTGAACCTGTTGATGCGAAGCTTCATCGTCAAGGCCTGCTGAACCTCCGATTGCGCCCGAATGAAATCTCGAGCCAAGGACTCGCTGACCCTCCTCTTGGAGGCGGACACCGCTGAGAATTCAGAGTTGGCTGAGCAAGGCGAGATCCCCCTCTGAAAACCTGTTTCACCATTGAGGTCCAGGTCGTCAGAATCGGATTCCGATGGAATCCGCAAGAGCGACGAGCCATTTTGCCCACTGGAGCTGTCCGAGCTGAATTGCGTCCGCGAGTTGCTGAGGCCACCTGGCGAGAACTCGTCGTGCGCTGTGGGCATCGTCACGACCGGCGGCTAGCAAACATGCTCACCAAGAGGCTGAACAGCAAGAAGAAGCTGCGAGCGCCACAGTCATGCAAACAAGCCGAACTTCGGCATATTACCGGGAATATCTCGTGCTTAGGTCCCCGGCTGCATCTCCCCAGATGCTCAAGCGCGACCCTCTGAGATTATCCGATGAGCTTGCCGAGAAACTTCGCTCAACCTCCCCGAATCCCGGAACGACCTTCCTGGACACCTTCAATGCCAGTACGAGCTGTATGGACCGAAGGCTATTGCTAGGCTATTGTAATTCCACAGGTGCGATGTGGAAACAACCGACATTGAGGCTGCACGCCCTTCGACCGCATCGGAACTTCGGAGCAGTTGAAGAACCCAAGACTGGGGAAGGGGCATGCATCAACATGTTGTCTATACCCATGAGCAATACAGCAACAGCCCGAGTTCGAAAACCCTTTCTGTCGAAGTCCACACGCGCTGCCAGCACTGGAAACGGCGCTTCGAGGAAACATTGCCTTCCGCTGCATTGGCTGAATAGGCTCACATCAAGAGCAAACAGCATCCGACTACAGCAAGCGCAGGGGCTGCCCTGATGTGCACTGCTCGAGAAGCAAGGACAATGCAACGGTTCTCGAGCAGATGTGACGGCACGGAGGCTTCTTCACGGATGCCGCTCAGCATCTTCGCCACCATCACGACCAAACTGTCGACGGCGCGTTTGGCCAAGCAAATTCCAACACTCACACGATGATGAGTTACCCATCTCGTGATCTTCAAACATCTTCAAACGGCGGATGTACTGCTTACTGACACCAAGACAAGTAGATCGTGAGGCTTGGTTGAGAAGGTTGCACGAAGGCGGGAATCACCAATGCCAAATACGTACCAGCTGTTGGGTAAGAAGGAAAAGCCTCACGACATTGGACATGGCAAAAATGCCGTTGAACAGATATGCAGCGGCCTCCTGCATGCCGTGCCCAGCACTGGCAAATTCAGGCGATGTCAGGCGACACTGGCTGAATCTGTACGGCTGCTACGCCTCTATGCTTTGTCTGAAGAATGCGGGTCAAGTTGAAGACCCAGTATGTCTTGCGTGAATAGCGCGGGAGGCACGGTGGCCTCGGTGAGGTCTTTTGGTACTGGCACTGGAGGCACCGGCTCCTGCAAGACGGGCAGCGAAGCTGTTGGAACTCACTCGTCGCCAGGACTGCCCAACTACTGCAGCCGCGGCACGTCGAGCAGCTTCGGTTCATTGGCCATGCCATGGCTTGAATGGATGCTGTCAAAGGTCGTCCTCGTGGACAAAGCTCTCAAGGAGCGCCGCCCTTGTCCTTGACGCTTCGTGTCCGGCGACACATGGCCAAAGTGGCTGTCCAAGCCTTCTCGGAGCAACTCTCCCATTCCTGCCTCAGTTCCGAAGCAGCTGCCGCCAGCTGCCGCAGATGCGATCACAAGCTGCAACTCGCCATGCTCACATTTTGAACTTGTTCCGGGTCACAGAAGCATATTGCAAGGCTTGGTCGGTGACCTCCAGGACCATGCCCCGCAGCCTTGAGCGGAGCAGGAACGCTCCCAACCCGCTTTCCTATCCATGGGACAAATCTTCTAAGCACAAAGTCGATCAGATGCGACCTTTCTCTGGGGTACACTTGGAGATGATTGGAGCTCGCACACGGACCTGAACCTGCTACTCGCACCCTTTTGAACCTGGCTGAAACGTCTGATTCGCTGAGCTCCCGCCTGAGCACAGTCGCTTCCAGAGCCTCCTCCAAGCTCGCATTGCCCTGCAAAGGCACGGCACTCCGGGGTGCATTTTTGGATGCACATGAAGCTCTGGCTACATCGCTGCCTGATTGCCCTCTCATCCTGGTGCTGAGAAATTTTGGCAGTCAGGATGCTGGCAAGTAGACAATAGTCAGTCATCGTTTGCACGTGCCCGGAGCAAGCCATCCCACTCCGAACACCAACATGCCCACCCATCGAGGGAGCCCGCCTCCTTTAAAGCGACCCTCTTCGATGAATGTGGCTGCTCGACCATGTCATGGATGTCCAGGTTCCTGATTCGAAATTTACTAGTTGCACAGGGCAACGGCAACGGACTGCGCAGAAGCAGACGGATATTACATGTTATGATCGCCACGAGGCATCAAGCCATTGCCCTCAATGACGGAAGTGTGTTCCACCCAGTGCGAAGAAAAGGACTTCGATGCAGCTGTTGCAGGAACACCCACCATCAGGCGATCCATCGACAGGGTAAGTCTGTCCTGGCAAAACTTCCGGTTCTTGATCCGCTCATGATCTTCATTCAGGCATGCTGACAAGTCTCAATTTTGGTGTGTAGGTTTTCAAAGTTCTCGTCGCACTGCTTCTGGAGCTCTTCTTGCTGGTGCATCGTTCGCAGCATGTTGTACCTCGTGCACGCTGGAACTTGCGCATGCGGACTGCAACATCAAACCATCAAGTAAGTGTCTATTTAATCATCATAAAAACTGTCGAGTTAGAATGGTCCCGCAGACTGGTGCCGGGTGCGATTGGCACGTGCCATGCATGTCCGAAAGCAACTACAAGAGAAGTAAAGCCAAATGCTTCCACCGTGTGCCGGCGCCATACTTCAACAGCATGCTCTTGTGAAGCAGAGACCCGACAACACAAATTCCAACGCAGAACCACGGCGCTTAATGAATCGCGGCGCTGTTTTTGAGTCCTGAGCTGGGGCAGGGCTTCAGACCAGCTTCTACGGGGCTCCAGTAGGCGGCGCATGTGGGACACGAACCCACAAAAAAAATGACATCATGAGCCTGCCGAGGCTCATGCACCCACCTGCTCAACGGTTTTATAAACTCAGGAGCTTCTATCGTGCCAGACCCGTCCGTGTCGATCATCTGAAAGAGCTCCACCAAATCCATTTCATCGATATCCATGATGCGAAGTCCTGAAGCACGATAGAACACCATGCAGGGCTTCAAATTCTCAGGGGCCAGCGCTGCTTCCCCCGGTTGCCAAAAATCCGTATAAACAAGACGGCTCTTTTCTTGCAAAGGCTCGGCTCTGAAACTCGGCATCTTGCCGGGCGCCCGCCACCAGCTGCTCCAGGCTCAGCTGACCCGTTCCCTCCTCGCAGATCCAAAGGCCCTTTCAGCTCTTACGCTCTGAGAGCAACTCTTTAGGGTTTTATAAAGTTTTATAGGTTTTTCGGGTTAGGTGCACATCCGGGCTGCTAATCCGGGCGGCTCTGCCGGCATGCACTCGGGCATGCCCACAGCTACACAAACTGAGAGGGTCCGGACTCTGGGCATGCCTGAAGCCGCAGGTCCTCGTCGATTCGCTCAAAAATCTTTTGCAGGAACTTCCTCGACAATACATGGGCACATGGACACAATGACAAGACGCAGGAGTCCATGTCGCAGTGCAGGGGAGACATTCAGGAGGTGAGGAAGACTGAATGTAATTGTCTGCCTTTAGTGTAGTTAGTGTAGTTGTCTCCAAGCCCGGGCTTGACAGGCGAAGGGTTAAGGCTGGTCACCTGTCTGCAGCCACGTCCTGCTCCAGCTCCTGCAGCGGACGGCTCGAGACTCCATGCCTACCCCCTTAAGCAGAAGCTTTCGGTGTACGGAAAGGTGCGACTTGTGCTACTCGCCACCTCTGCCAGATTCAATATGTCCCTCTCCCGGGCATCCGCGAAAGTGTCCACCTCACTTTCTCAGCTGAACAAGGGAAACGCAAACGGACTTCGATTGAAATGAGCTTGGCGCCGTGCTGCTGTCGCGAGAGATGCATGACTCACCGATTAGCGAATGCTCGGCTGCCAAATTTGCAGACAAGTTTCTACTACTGCGACGATTAAATTCAGGACTCCGAAGACTAAGGTCAGCGAGGAGCCCACGAAGATGACAGCAGTCTCGGGATGCATGAGGATCACGGGCACGGCCATCTGTCCCCAGCTGTCACCTGCTATGACTGTCTTAAAGAGGAGCAAGTTCGCCTTCATGACAGAGGTGGTTGCCGTTTCGCAGAAAACACCACACTCCTCAAAAAGGCCTTCGTCAACCATGTCTCGCACATATGGGTCTATCCATTCCACAATGAGCATCGCCCATATTGTCATAACAACAAAGCAGAAAATAAATGACCAAAAGAGCGCCTTGATGCAAGTGTGCATCATCTTCACTAACTTTTGCAGTTCCCGCAAGGATTTAACCTTACGAAGCAATTTCAGCAATCGAAGTACCCGCGCCAAACGCAGTATGCTCAGCACACCCAAATTCGCATATTCGTTACCTGGCGCCACGAGATCGAGCATGACTTCAACGTAGCCGGCCGAAATGACAATAACATCCATCATGACCAGACCTCTTCGTAAGATGGCAGTTCCATCCAGATAGAACTGCAGAGCCAGCTCCAGGCTATACAAGACTAGGCACACATCAGACAAGACTGTCCAAAGTTGTGGGGTCTGATTCCCGGCAGCTCTCGCATCGATACTGGCTGCGTTGCAGTAGGCATCCAGCAGAACCACAAATACCATAACGTTGTTGACATAGTTGGTCTTGCGTAGCCTTTTGGTGAGCCTTTGGCAGAAGGAGGGCCCATGGGCGGCGTGGTCTGGATCAACAACGGTTTTGGCACGGATGAAGTCCCCGGCGAGGGAATGGCTGACTCTCTTCTTTGAGGCGGAAGAAGCGGAGCCCATCGATGCCGTGTGGAGCACGTTGGGCTCTCGGTCGAAGTCCACATCAGGTTGAAACCGAACGGCACTGCTAGAGCTCTTGGAGGAGGCCTCACTTCTGGAGCGCACTGCCATGGCCGTCCATTCGCTTTAGACACCTTGCGAGATCCAAATCCTGCGCAAGCTCACACCCTCGTCCCTCCTTGCAGCAATCTGCACGGTTGCAGGTTCAGGCTCAAAGATCGAGGCCGGGGCTGAAGTAAACGAAATGCTCACAAAGCTCGGGAGCTGTCCTTGAAAACTTCCCGGAGACAACGGAAGCTACAGCAATCCTGTGGGCGTTCTAAAGTTCCCCGTGCGGAGAGCCCAAGCATGGCCTGGCCAAGTCTTGCTCCTTTCCTCCTCCTCCCTGCGGTTCGCAACAGGCGGGGTATCTATTGCCTCGACCTAGCTTCGACCGATTCCTGGCGACAGCAAGCGAGTCGGACGAGCTTACACAAGTCCCTCAATCAGACGTCCTAGCTTCGTTCAGGCGAGGTGCTGACAACGCCGTTGGCATCGCAGGGAGTTCGCCTCAACAAGATGGTCACCGGACCGGCGGCCCGTGCAAGTAGTACCAGTACCATCTCCGTGGGATCAAATCACAGCGCAAGGTATTTCCAAGGCTCCAGTCGATCACAGCTGAATGTCTTGCTAAACCTCTCCGAGGCATCCGACACCCGTTCTACCCCTCGACCTCATACGACTCGCTGCTTGCCGTCCCACTGAAGAAGACTCCGGCCTCTTTTCAGGGGGCCACCAGGTCAGATTCCCCGGTTCCCAGACATCAACTACAGATGAGGTAAGTTGGGGAGTTGGGAACACTTGCGGTTGGGTGTCTATTTCTTTCTCGAGACTCCAGTGTCCCACAGTCCCACACCATGAGCTGAAAGTGAGCACCCAAAAGGGATATCCACACCCCTCTGAAATCACCGGCGTGCATGTTCCGATCCAGGACGCGTCAGGGCTGAAACTCTAGCCTGGTAACAACCGATGTCCAAGTTGTGGACGATCAGCTGAGTGTCTGGGTGAAGTGTCACCTTTCGTGGGGAAGTGTAGGCAAGCGCAGTTGGTATCAGCTCTCAGGGCTTTCTCGTCCGAGTCACGCCGTTGCATCCGACGCTACCGCTGACGAAGCCCCAGCTTCCTTGATGCCGCATACCGACCTCAAAGCATTGAATCGTGGAATCTTATTTGTGAAAAACCCTTTCGAAGCAGCGCATCCCACCCGATGTCCGCACCTCCGCCGCTTGACAGTGGCAAGTGCTCGTCGGCCTGTCGAAGCTGTAGTAGGCCTTGCGTGCAGGCTCACCCAGCGATCTAGAACCTGATCTTCCAAACCACCTGCAGAAGGACAGGTACGACTTCCGAAGAGCGGAACGTTGCAGCAAAACCATCCAAGATTCGGCATCGGCCAACATCTCACGAAAAAGCTTCCCTGCATGTTCTGCCGAGCTGCGGCACCTGGCTGGTAGGAGCAAAGCTCCTGGCACCTCCGAGCCGTCTCCTTGGAAAATGGAGCTTCCAAGGCTTTGCCCAATCAAATTCAGCCATGCATCGGCGAACTGTGGCACCACCCCAGGCATGTCCAAGGGCAAGTAGGTGACACCATGTTCGTCGCCTTACTGACATTGGCTATTGTCCCTCGCTCTGCTCTTGGAACCGCTGCCAAGCTGCATCGCTCGGTTGACACCGGAGCGGCTGCCTGCCAGAGAGATCCAGAGAGGACTTGGCGTACACACGCCAAGAATGAGAGCACCCTTCTCAAATTCAACAACGACACGGACGAATTCTGCGAACTGCCATCCATGCCTGCGGCACTGTAGCTCCGGGGTGCGGCTTGCTGGCAGGACGCAGATGTGTCCCCTCCTGGCCACTTCCAGCGCTGAATTTGAGCATGCGGACGAAAGTGATCTGCACAAATGCTTCGGAAGCTGCATGCTGCCTTCTGCCTGGGCGTACGAACGAGCTCTAGCAAGTGAGGGTCGTTCTCCTGCCGCAAATGCCAGGCACGCCAATCGACGGGAGGGCACAACAGTGCCCGGCCTCCCCCAAATGACAAGGCCGATAGCAGTTCGGATCACCCCGCTGCCATAAACTCCTTGGGCAATGTTGTTGCAGCACGAAAACCGCAATCCAAACGACACTTTCGGGTTCACTCCAAGGAGCTTGGCAAGCTGCCGCTTGCTGGATTCCGCCTCACTGCTGCGATTTGTCCCTTATATACTTCCCTGACAACTGGAGTGTGAGAAATGACAGAAAAGCATGATCCCATTCCATGCTTGTCACCCGCAGAGAGTGTGTTTTCTCTCTTCCTCTTGTTACCTTCCCCTGGCTATGCACAGCAAACAAACATCTCCTCTGATTCTTTGTAGATCCGTGAGGTCACTTAGAACACTCCCTCGGATTGAGGGGCTGGATCAACGCAACGGGTAACGGGCTCCTCTCGATTTATCTCTTTGCTTCTGTGCACTTTGTTGCCGCCTCGACCGCTGCGCACGCGCCTCTTTTCAGGACCCGTTGGCTGAGAGCAAGAATGAAGCTCGTGTTGCTTCCACGCAATTTAGAGAAAAAGGTGGACAGCCTCCCTCCCCGCGTTCCCGCGCGATGCCAAGAAATTCTGGCCCCGTTCGCAAATGCTCCCCTTTTGACCCCTGCCAGCGGAAGACCCCCCACCTCTGCACTCGTTGCAGCAAGGTCTCTGTGAGCTCCGGGTACCAGGACGGATGTTGGATCAGCTCCACCTCCGGCCGGGGCTTCCCGAGCATGGGTTGTGACTGCCGCACACATACGCATACGCCCGTCTTCTGAGCCTGCTGAAGCCAGTCCACACGCAGCAGGCAGAGCGGCTGCAAGCGCAATTGCAGACAGGTCGCACCCTCAGCCGGTACAGTAGGGAGGAATACACATCAACACGAAGGAACAATCCTCCTAGACTGTAACACACTTCAGAATGTCGGTAAGTCAGCCCTCGATTCCGTGCTGCATTCCTGTTGCAGAGGCACATGAAACATATTGCAAACATTCGAGCCCGAAGAGCCCCGTCTAAGGGCTCGACAGGGCTTACCATCCCTTCTCGAACCGCTGAACTTACGCATAGTCTTTCCTGCTGTTCCACCATACCCAGCAGACGTACCAGGACCTCTCTGATATCTACGCGTACTGCATACTGAGCGCTGCCTCAGCACACCCTACAAGACTGCACTGCCTGCCGGGTTGCCCTGCAAGGCCGCGGGCAGCCATTTTGCGGCAACAAATGCAGCAGCGCCTTCGACTTTCATCATTTCAGCACAGACGCACATCCTTTGTCGCAGGCTCGCATGAAGCCGGACCTGAAAGTCGGAGAAGTCTGAATCTGAGGAAAGGCCGGGATACCTCGCGCAGAGAGCACAGGGTCTCAACAGAACTCTGCGCTGCAACGTTGGACGGCCGTCCAAGATGCCAGTGTGGATGTTCGAAGATGCCGTGGCTCATTGCATAGAGCCTCAGCGCACACATGATTCCGTAGCTTGACAGGTTTCGGGTCCTACGCAAAAGTCCAGGCCAAGACGCACGTGACTGAAGCACTCCGTCCCCTGCTCCGCGTTTTGACATCTCGACTTCTCCTCGTCTGAGCTTCGAAGTGCCTTCCTCAGACGCAAGCATGGCAATGCATGGCACTGCTGCTCTGCTCCTGTTTGCCAGCTTTACCATAATCTTATCCGAACCTGCCGGATGCAGGCAAGATCAGGCAAGGGACTGCGCTTCCTGCAAAAGGGACTCCTTGAGTTTCTTCTCCTGCTCGGCCCTCTTCCTGCCATCTTGCTCCTTGGTGCACAGAAGATGACGTCGTGGACAGCCCTGACCAAAGCCGCGAGAGGGTCGGCATAGGCCAAGGCACGCGGCGATGTGCGCGTGCGACCGTCCTTGCAAGCTCTGCCTGGCATGGCCGCAAGAGTCCGGCTTCTCATCTGACTAGCTGGCCTTGCCTGCTCCAGAGCGGCAACCGACATGACGTCACCAGGATGACTTTCGCTTTCGTGGTCGCCAGGTGCTTGACCTCACGGCTGCAAGCCTGTGCTACACTCGAGACGGGGATCTGCCCCACCTGCAGTCCCACAGTTCGCTTCGTCGGATGCATCCACGCAGTCCACAAGGCCATCACAGATGCGGCTTGCATCCACGCAGCGGTGCCCACGATCCTCATCAGGACTTGTCTAGCACATTTCTAGCACTGCTCAGGAATCGCAATTCTGGCCAAGCTTGTGGTTCTGAAGTTTCCATCTTTTGGATTACCTACAGGACCTACATGTATCGAGCGAGCTGGAAAAGCCACAGTGTTGACTTTGTCCCCTGCTGCCATCGCAAAACAACAGCGACAAGAACGAAGCGTCTTGGCAGACAAGGAAAGGAATGAAAGCGAAAGCGTCAGCTGTGAAAGATGTGTAGCCTGCTTTACTATTCTAGCCAAGCCACGCAGGGAAAGGTTTCCTCCACAAAAACAACATGCACTCGTCAGGAGTTTGATGGCAGCTGCCCAAACGGAAAGCCCCTACACAGAGCAACTTCCTCAACCAAAACAAACCGTCACGCCAGCGAACAATTGAGGGCCTGCTGACAGTCTGCATTGAGCGCGACCATGAACCCAAAGAACCATCCTGGCTTCGAGACATTGCAGCGAAACTGTGGGATAAGGCATGGGCATCAATGTATCAGAAGTCAGCCTGTGCTGTACCGGAAACTCAGCGCAGGCATGGCCAGCGAGGCTAGAAACATGGGAAACTCAAGGCATCTTAATTCAGCACCAAACATCACCAAACCCAGCAAGCTTGATATGCTTGGTGTTGGTAAGGATTGGCGGATTCAATGCTATTCCCTTCCCAACATGCTCACCGTGGCTTGAACCTTCACGACAGCGAATCAAACTATCAGGAGGGGACACTGCGAGAAGTTGCAGAAAGATTCCGGCCTTTGCCCTGGGCAGCCCCTGTGATGATGCCCGGCAGGTCAAGAAGCTGTATCTTGCAATCATTGTAGTTGATGACACCTGGCATATCCAAAAACATACAGAAGCTTGCATCTTCAAGAATAAGCAACCTGGGATGCAGGTCAAAGTAGTGAACTCGTAGGCAGCTGCCTCGGGGCGATGCAGGGCAATCTCTGCGTGTTTACTGTGCTCCACTGGCCACCTCGGACTGCACTCCAGTCAATGCAGTCAGAAGGGACGATTTCCCGACCTGGGTCGAAGGATCAGGATGTCAAGACATCGTAGGAAGCATTGCGGCTATCCGTCACGCGGCTGAGCTGTGGACTGAAGGAAACCCGATGAGTGCGCAGCGCGAATCCCCGAATCTTTGCACCTGCTCTGCACAGTCGTCGCCGCTTGGCAGCTTCACAAATAAGAAAACGATTCCAGCTCCACAAGGCCGCGTGTATTCCGAAACAGTGTCCAATCAGAAGCTTTCGCCCATCCACATAGAAAAGAATCAGGAAAGGCAACATGAAAGGTTTGCAGAGCCTCGAAGCCCTTGGCTTTGCCACCACCTCCTCCTTTTTCTGGACTGATAAGCTCCTGGGGCATGCCGAACAACTCACGAAACAGCATCGAATTGTTCGCCCTGTTTGCCAAGCAAATTAAATCGAGCAGGACAACTGCATGTTGTTGCATTGCCAGAACCGCGGTCGCATCACATTGACAAGTGCCAACGCACCCATCAACTTCGTTCTGCTGGCCACCACTGGTCTCATACAAGCGTCCCTTCTGGCAGCGCAAAGTTTGGCCTTCAAGTCCTCAGCGGTCGCTGTTGGATCTCGTTGTTGTTCATTACATCTCCGCGCATAAACGGGGAAGGTACACAATGCACTGGTCTGGTGGCACCTCTTACACACATGGTGACTGCATCCAGCTTCAACTCGCAAATCGTGCATCTAAGAATCTCCCAAATGCTTCGCTGTAGCTTTGTTCTTTTGGGTCCTTCGCACACGAGCGAAATGGGTGTTAAACTGCAAACTGAAGTTTGCCACATGCCAGCTTTGTCAAAACCTCTGCAAGTTTTCGTCTGTCACAAGTATGCCACAATTGTCATTCGGGCTGCAGCTGCCTTCAATTCCTATACACTCACCGGTCCTTGAAATCTCAAGTTCGAGCGTCGCGATCTTTTCCAACAGCGCCGGCATGATACCAATCGCCCAGAGTTGCGACTGCCACTAGTCTGAAGTGGCATCCAAGCTTTAATCAGTGTGTAACTGGAGTACATCTGGTAGTGTGTCGTGACCACACCAGCGCGATAAACGCACAGACTGTCTTGCAGGATTGGGCGAGCCAATTTCCTCAGCTCAGCTACGAGACTACGATGTTTGATATGGGCATGGAGATGTTGTGTTTGAGAACTGGCCTGCAGACATTCCTGCGAATCTTCCAAAAAAGTAATATCCATTGAATCCCAGCAAAACCACGTTCACAACTGTTGCACAGGGTGCCACAAAATGATACGAGTCGTACAGCAATAAGAAAAGTTAAAGTTGACGCTAACTTGCGATAGCCATGGCATGTATAGTAAAACCAACATCCCGGGTCAGGTCAGGCAAGGAGACACATTCAAATATATTGGGCATGAAATGCCACTCAACTGGTTCCTTGAGCCTGCCCTCGCGACCACGGCCGCAGCGCGAGTGCACGTGGCTGGCTTTCCAGTATTGATGGGGATGCTGCGCCTTCCACACAGGGAGGGCCGGATGAGCTGGCTGGCAGCAGGCTGCACATTTGTCACCCCAACTCAGCGCTGCTTCTCTCGCAAGCCAACCTCACTCGCTCCGCCCCTCACCTCCCCATGTCAGCCGCTGTCGCCCCGCCCCCCGAACACCTCCAGGCTTCTGCGGCGGCTGCGACTGCCGATGCCACGCACTTGTTGTTGCTCGGCCACGCTTCACCGTTTGGTTGACCACAGCTCCGCGGGTGCAACGCCCGATGTTTTGGCAACGAGAGCTCTTCCGCCAGAGCATGTCTGTCGATCCGGCAGCAAGCGAGTCGCTCGCAACATCAGGGTCGCCGACATGAACATCTTTTTTTTTGCGACGTCGAACGTAGGGTCCTTCTGCAACTCGCAGGCGGCCTGTGTCGTGCGGGCTGGGAGGCGGTTGCTGGCGGGTGCCTGCAACCAGCGTGCGTCGGCCAGCAGCTTGTGCAAAGCGGGCGGGTCACCAGCAGCACTCAGCGGCGGGAGGACCAGCGGTGCACTCAAGCGCCCTGAGCAGCGCGGCGCACGGCGGCAGGGGTGCTGGCTGCGCGCGCTTATGCGATAAGTTGAAGGAATGTCCCTGCTTCCTCACTCCAATGCCCACTGTTTCAATGCCGAAAACGACAAGGCGGCAGCGGCGGGCGGGGAGCAGCTCCGGACAAATTGTTTTTTTGTACAAGCACCTTTTTGATGTCCGAAAGACTAGAAGTTGCGACGTGACGCTCGTGTCGGCTCTGACATGCGAGGGGCGGCCCCGGCTGTCTGCTGCCACTCGCGATGGCGCCCCCATCACTCTTGCAGAAAAGGCGCTAGCGTGTTGCCTGCCCTGAACTGCTGCGGCCGGGGCCGTCCTAACGTGTGAAGTTGGAGGCCGCTGGAGCGCTGAGTCGCTACGCCTCATCACTCAACTCGTGCGCCTCCGAGCCCAGCGCGCT